GGGCCTTAAATGGAGGAGGGGGAGGGTCTGGGGGTCTGGGGGTCCCCATTGGGTTGGGAGTTCCCATTGTGACATTGGGGGGGATCCCACTGTGACGTTTTGGGGGGATCTCGTGGCCATGGTGGCCCCACGACACCCTCACAACATCCCCATGGCCATGGGGACACCCCCAGTGCCCCCCAGTGCCCCCCAGGTCAGTCGAGGGGGGCGGCGGCCGAGGGGCTGGCGGGGCCGGAGCTGCCGGCGGCGGTGCCGCGGGCTCCGCTGTACTGGCCGATGAAGGAGCCGTCCTCGTTGAACTGGACATCGGCGCTGCCGCCGTAGCCGGCCAGGCTGTCGTCACTGCCCAGCGCCGCGCCCGCCGCGCCCAGCGAGCGCCCGGAGCTGCCCGACGCCTTCTCCTCGCCATCGCTGGGGACAGAGGGGACAGCGGGGGCACCAATGGCACCAAGAACACAAGGGACAAGCCAAGAAATGACCCAACGACCCAACCATTGATCAGCCATTGACCAACCAATGACCAATGACCCAACCAGTGACCAGCCATTGACCAATGACCCAACCATTGACCAGCCATTGACCAATGACCCAACCATTGACCAACCAATGACCAATGACCCAACCATTGATCAGCCATTGACCAATGACCCAACCATTGACCAGCCATTGACCAACCATTCACCAACCAATGACCCAACCAACACCCAACCAATGACCTGACCAACAATCAAACCAATAACCCAACCAACACCATCAGCGGCCCTGGTGCCACCACTGCCAACCCCTGCCCAACTCCCACCCAACTCCACCCCCAGCCCCCCACTGCCACCCCTGTCACCTCCACCCAGGGGAGGACGAGGGTGAGATTGGGGGAGGGGTATGAAGGCTCTGAGGTGGGTGGGGGAGGGGATGACATGGATGAAGACCCCACCCCCCCATGGGTGCATTGACCCCCCCCAGACCCCCCCTTACCTCTCCAGGGACCTGCACAATTAGCGGAGGGCGGTTAACGAGGAGGCAAGCGATTAGTGAGAGAGGGACAATTAGCGTTTGGTGAGGAGGGTAATTAATTAATGAGGGGGTAATTAGAGCACGAGCTGCTCCGGCCCATCGCGATAGGCCACGCCCTTCCATAAAACCGTGCCCACTCCTAATCAGGCCACACCCATTTATACAAAGCCATGCCCATTTTACCGAGGCCACGCCCCTTTCCTCACCGGTACTCCCCGAAGGTCTCGTCCTTCATTGGCCGCGCCTCCGAGTCCACCTGCGTGTCCTCCTTGTCCTTCACTGGGGGGGCCCCGCTGCGCTCAGGGGGGGGCCACGGAACCCCCGGGACCCCCCCATTCCCAGATCACCCAATGACCAACCTTTGACTCAACCCTTGACCCAACCCTTGACCCAACCCTTGACCCAACCCTTGACCCAACCCTTGACCCAACCCTTGACCCAAACCTTGACCCAACAACCAACCATTGACCCAACCCATGACCCAACCATTGACCCAACCATTGACCAACCCTTGACCCATTGACCAACCCTTGACCCA